ATATATATATATATATAACATATATATATATATTATATGATATAATACTATTATATATATATATATGATATATAGCTGTGTTGTGTGTGTTTGTGTGTGTGTGTGTGTGTGTTCCTGTGTTGTTGTGTGTGTGTTTGTTGTGTGTGTGTGTGTGTGTGTGTGTGTGGTGTGTCTGTGATTGTCTTGGTGTGTGTGTGGTGTGTGTGTGTGTTGTACGTGTTGTGTGTGTTGTATGTGTGTGTGTGTGTTGTGTTGTGTGTGTGTGTGTTGTGTGTGTTGTGTGTGTGTGTGTGGTGGTGTGTGTGCTGTGTGTGTGTGTTGTGTCACATGGTGTGTGTATTGTGTGCGTGTGTGTGTATATATATATATGTAGTATATATATATATAGTATATATATATATGCGATAGATAGAGATAGATAGATATACATATATGCATGCATACATACATACATACATAATATATATAATATATATAATATATATAATATATATATATATATATAATATATATATATATATATATACATATATATATAATATATATATATATATATATATATTATAAATATAATATATATATATACATATATATATATATATATATATATATATATAATATATATATGTATATGTAATATATATATATATTATTAATATATATATATATAATTATATATGTATATAATAATATTATATTATATATATATATATATATATATATATATATATATATATATATAAATATATATTATATAATATATTATATATATATATGTATTAATATTATAATATATATATATATATATATATATATATATATTATATAATAAATATATATATAACATAATATATATATATATATGTATATATTATATATATATATATATATATATATATATATATATATTATATATATATAATATATATATATATATATATATATGTATATATATATATGTATATATATGTATATATATATATGTATATATATTATATATATATATTATGTATATATATAATATATATATAATAATATATATATATGTGTGTGTGTGTGTGTGTGTGTGTGTGTGGTGTGTGTGTGTGTGTGTGTGGTGTGTGTGTGTGTGTGTGTGTGTGTGTGTTGTGTGTGTGTGTGTAGAGAGAGAGAGAGAGAGAGAGAGAGAGAGAGAGAGAGAGAGAGAGATGTATAAATTCATGTGTTTACAGTGCATTGTAATACCTCATGTGGCGGTTAATTAATGTTTTCTTCGAAATTCTATTCGAAGCGAAGACGGAGAAAGAAAGCAAAAAAAACAACAACAACCAAAACGGAATAGACACAGATGAATAAAACAAAATATATGAATAAGTAAGATCTTAAATAAACAAACACACAACAGATCAGATTTCGTTTCCTTGGCGTAACCAAAATGTACATTTATTATCCCAATCCTCCTCTACCTTTAATACTATTTAGGATTAGATCAATCATTCAATCTTTCTCTACCTGGCTGCCATTTCTTGAGGATCTAGATCAATAAATAAACCAAACTGAAGCCTATATATAAAGATGAAAAGAGAAACTTTCAATAAATTATAAAAAAAGTGAAATATTGCTATTATCATTCACACATTACTTTACTTTACTGAGGACGTTTCTGAATTTGCATATTTCCAGACCCAGAGGTTTCAAGAGAAGTCAATACACATTTTAGTGCTTAGGGGAAAGAGGTAATAAAAATATATATAATGATGCTCGTTGCGCAGAGAGAAAGAGAGAGGGAGAGAGGGAGGAAGATACTGTATAGCGGGGGGGGGGGGGGGAGATGAAATAGGAGGGGAGGGGGGGGGGAGAAAGAGAGAGGGGGAGAGGGACAAAGAGAGAGAGGAGAGAGGGACAGAGAGAGAGAGAGAGAGAGAGAGAGAGAGAGAGAGAGAGAGAGAGAGAGAGAGAGAGAGAGAGAGAGAGAGAGAGAGAGAGAGAGAGAGAGAGAGAGGGAGAGGAGTGGGGGGGGGGGGGGGGGGAACAGAGACAAACAGACGAACAGACAAACAAACAGAAAAAACACAGAATAAGAAAGAAAGAAAAGAGAGAAGAGACGAAGAAGAAGAAAACAAGGAAAGAAAAAAGAAAAGAGAAACGAAGAAAAAAACAAGGAAAGAAAGAAAGAAAAAGAGAAAAAGACGAACAAGAAAAAAAAAAGAAAAAGAAAGAAAAAAAAGGAAAACCAGAAAATAATTGCACACACCATCCACACACCAAACACAGATCCTTATTATAAAACCCCCAACATATAAGGAAGCAAATCTGGCCAAAACACAAACTAAGGCAAACCATTACTTCAGTGATAACAAAGGTAACGAGCAGTTATCTCCAACAGGCTTAATTACCTCCAACCAAACTGTATTAGAGAGGCCAATGAAACGAGTACGTGTCTGGAGATTTTGTAAGAAAGAACTTTATCTTAGGCGTCTATAAAGTGTCTGAGGAATGGACTGATCTTGTCCATTGACAC